GCTCACTTGATCCACGGTGAAGAATACGGGATATGTCATTTCTTTCTTTCTTATTATTATTATTTTTTTTTGGCTAGACAATGGGGTTAAGTGACTTGCCCAGGGTCACACAGCTAGGTAAATGTCAAGTGTCTGAGGTCAGATTTGAACTCACGTCCTCCTGACTCCTGGGCCAGTGCTCTATCCACTGTGCCACCTAGCTGCCCCCACTTTTTTTTTTGGTAAGGCCACTGGGGTTAAGTGACTTGCCCAGGGTCACACAGCTAGGTAAATGTCAAGTGTCTGAGGCCAGATTTGAATTCAGGTCCTCCTGACTCCTGGGCCAGTGCTCTATCCACTGTGCCACCTAGCTGCCCCCACCTTTTTTTTTTGGTAAGGCCACTGGGGTTAAGTGACTTGCCCAGGGTCACAACAGCTAGTGAGTATTACGTGTCTGAGGGATATGTCATTTCCAGACAAGTCGAACAGGTTTGGGGCAGGTTGTTGAGTGCTTGGTCTCTGAAATCAACTATAGATGCCTCTTTTCAGCATTCGATGCTCTTCAAGCTCTGACTCCAGCCCATCTTTCCAGGCTGAGTAGACGTTGCTTCTCTTTGCCCAATCTGTGATCCAGCCAACTGGCCCACGGCTATCACCATGGCACTCCGTCTCTCATCCCCTTGACTTGAACTGGCCTTACTGCTGCCTCTTAGAATTCCTCAGTTCCTTCAAGGCTCAGCAGCTCCACCATCTTTTACATGAAGCTTTCCTGGATCCCCCTGGCTGCTTATACCTTCCTTCCTAGAAATGACTTCAGGTTGTTGTTGTTTGTGCTTCGTTCTCGAAGAGGACCGTGACGTCAGGAAGGTGATGCCATGACTTGCAAGTGAATTGGATTGAAGTGAGGCAGGGCTGTGCAAAGTCACCAGCCTCACCTTGCCCTCCAGAGCCACGTGGGTCCAGTGGCAAGATATGCATCAGGACATAGCGCCCCCTCTGAAGTGACTTCCCCTACTCTCAGTCATAATGGAGGGCCAGGCCCCCGAAGGGGGCTGCTCCTCCTTCTAAGGTTTCTAAGGGGTAGCCCTGGGGGTTTCTATATGGTTGCTTACAACCCCTTAAAGCGTCTTTCTCGCTGATGACCAGTTAGCCAGATTTTGTTAGCTTTTAGAGAGGGTATTTACTAAGACTCTGTAGTAAGAATAAGAAAGGGTAGCTAGTTGGTGCGGTGGATAGAGTTCAAATGTAGCCTGATACTAGCTGTATGACCCTGGGCAAGTCACTTCAGCCTGTTGGCCCCAGTTTCCTCATCTGCAAAATGAGCTGGAGAAGGAAATGGCAAACCCCAAATAGGGTCATGAAAAGTTGAATATGACTGAAAAACAGCTAAAGAATAACAAAAATGATAATGGGACCTTTTAGGTCACACAACCAATTTATTTACACGGGGTCACAGAGAGTCAGACGTGACTGAAATGACTGAACAACAACAACAAATAAGAGTAGTGGGAACAAAAGCACTGTTCCCCAAGTGGGAGCGTGATCTCATTCTATACGTGGAAGGGAGACTGGGCTCAGTCTTAGAGAGCGTTCACAGAGAACACTAATGCACCGTAGAAACACCATCACCAGCGTTCCCACTGCTACTACGACTATTCCATATTTCTTCCTTAGAAAATGAAGGGGCTGGATGAGGCGGTCTCCAGGGTCCCTTCCAGCCCTCATTTTTTAAAAACTCATTTTATAAAACAGTTTTATTTAAAGTTTGGAGTTCCAAATTCTATCCTTCCCTTCCCCCTACCCCAGACAGCAAACAATCAGATATAGGTTACACCTGTGCAATTCTGTCAAACGTTTCCATATTAGAAAAGAAACAAAAGAAAGTGAAAACTAGCCTGCTTCAGTCTGTATTAAATCTATATCAGTTCTATCTCTGGAGGTGGAGAGTGTGCCTCACTGTTTGTCCTTTGGGATTGTTCTGGGTCATTGTATTGCTGAGAATGGCTAAGTCATATACAGTTGATCGTCGTCACAATGTTGCTACTACTGTGTACAACATTCTCCTGGTTCTGCTCACTTCACTATGCATTAGCTCATGTCTTTCAAGGTTTTTCTGAACTCATTCTGTTTGTCATTTCTTATAGCACAATAATATTCCGTTATAATCATATACCACAGCTTGTTTAGCCATTCTCCAACTGATGGACATCTCCTCAATTTCCAATTCTTTGCCACCACAAAAAGAGTTGCTAAAAATATTTTTGTACTTGCGGCCCCTTTTCCATTTGTACGATCTCTTTGGGATACAGACCCTCGAAGTGGTATTGCTGGGTCAAAGGCTATGCACAGTTTTATAGCCCTTTGGGCATAGTTCCCAATTGCTCTCCAGAATGGTTGGATCAGTTCACAACTCCATTAACAACGCATTAGTGTCCCAATTTTCCCACAACTCTGTCAACATCCAACATTTTCCTTTTTTGTCATATTAGCCAATCTGATAAGTGTGAGGAGGTACTTCAGCAGCTCTCACTTTTAAAGATCATTAGTAGATGGATTTGGTTGGGAACAGGGGTTTCAAAGTGGGATATTCTAGAGAATAAAAAACACATTTTTTTTAAACTGGGAGTTATTGTCTCCATGCTGCTGAGACCATAAATGACAGGGTAGAGACAGTATTGTATAATTGTTTTTGCTGAAATGAAACATGGGCTTTTTCAATATTTTCGTTTCAGATCCTGGCTCTCTTCATGCTCTGAGCGATCCCAGCCTATACTCTTCCCATGTCTGGGCTTCATTTTCCTCCCTTGTAAAACCAAGGAATTTGACTTACTGTTCTCCAAGATCCCTGGAAGCATAAACATTCTTTTTAAAAAATTTGTTATATTTTTAATTTATGGAATAAAACAAGCATTTCTGTAACATAGTACCATAAAAAAGATGCTTGCATATGAAACTGCAGATCTATCATGTACAACTTGCTATTCCTTTTAAATATACAACAAATTCATCATGTAAATTTCTATGAAATTTATTAAAAACATGTCATACAAAAATGTTCTAAATCATTATTGAAAAGAGAAATGCAAATTAAAACAACTTCAAGGTATCATTTTACACCTATCAGATTGGCTAAAATGATTGAAGGGGAAAGTGACAAATGTTGGAGGGGATGTGGAAAAATTGGCACACTAACTCATTGTTGGTAGAAATGTGAACTAATCCAGCCATTTTGGAGAGCAATTTGAAATTATGCCCAAAGAATTATTGAACTACCTATACCCTTTGACCTGGAGATACTACTACTCGGTCTATTTCCAAAGATGATTAGGGAAAAAGGAAAAGAACCTTTATGTTCTGAGATGTTTGTAGCAGCTCTCTTTGTGGTGGCAAAAAACTGGAAATTGCAGGGACGCTCATCAATTGGGAATGGCTGAACAAGTGGTATATGATGGTGATGGAATACGATTGTGCTGCATGAAACGATGAGCTCCACAATCTTAGAAAACCATGGAAAGACATGCATGAAATAATGAAAAGTGAAATGAGCAGAACCAAGAGAACGTTGTATACAATAACAGCAACATTGTTTTAAGAACGACTTTGACCAACTAGGTCATTTTGATTATTATAGATACCCAAATTAACTATGAAGGACATATGAAGGAAGATGTTCTCTGCATCCAGAGAAGGCACTGATAAAAAGCAGAAATAAATATATATATATATATATTGATATATATATATATATATTTATAGGTATATATACATGCACATCTATTTGTGTCTGATGGTGGCCATCTCTAGGGTGGAGGTGGGGGGAGAGAGAGGCGGGTGGGGAGGAAAAAAAGGAAAAAAAAGCAAACATGGACATTCTGCACACTCCCTTCCAAGAACCTGAAGGGTCTGACTCTTTCTCTGTGTCCTTTGTTTTAAAGCCCCATCCATTTTCCCTTTCAATAATCATAAAAGATTGAAAAGAACCATTTTAAACTTAATGTCCAGCCAGATAAACACTAGTGCTGGGAAACACATTGGACCCTGAGTCTTTGGAGGGTCTCAAAGCCCTTTCTCAACACCTCTTAGAATGAATCTCCACTGTGGACAGAAGGGGTGGACTCTGTCAAGACTCACATTAGTCGGCATGGAGGTGGGGGTGGTGGACAGAAATTTTGTGGTGGGGGCAGCCCAAGGCTGCCCAGCTCGGGGAGATAACAAAAGCTGGCATCTACATGGCTCTCTTAGGTCGACAAAGCACTCTACATATTAACCCTGTTACTATCCCATTTTATAGGTGAAGGGAATGAAGACAGACAGAGGTTAAGTTGCCCAGGGTCACCAAGCTAGGAGGTGTCTGAGGGAGAATTTGAACTCAGGTCTTCCTAACTCCAGGTCCACAGTGCTCTCTCCTGTACTATGGAGATGCCTCCAGACTTGGACCTCTCTTGTTCCCTGTGACTTTAAAAGCCTCAAAGAATGGTCGACTTGGAGGTAAGAAGAGGTGAATTCAGGCCCGCCCTCCTGGGCCTCAGTTTCCTCCCCCGTACGTGAGGGTGCCTTCCTGCTCTGGGTCGCTGCTCCTCGGCCTCTCCCCTTCCCCGGGCTGCTCACTGCTCCTGGGGAGGGAGTGGACAGAGCCTCTCTGCTGCAGTCCCTGCCCCCATCAGCCCAGTTTGTTTTCTTTGGCTGTCTGCTTAATTGGTTCCACAATCTCATGCGAAGTCCAGTTACCCAGGCTAATTGGCTTCCTTACAGCGAGATAATGCCTCATTTCTTCTCTCGGGGGCCCCTCTGTTTAAAGGCATTTTCACTGGGGGGTGATAATTGGAGATGAGCAGAAAGTAACACCTGAGGAGTTCATTGCCCGGCTCCAGCTTCTGGGCCCTCCTTTGAACTCCCTGGGCTCGGCCTCAGGTGCCTCTTCCCCAGGGGTCTCCTTCCCTCATAAAGAGGGGCCCTGGTTGCCGGCCTCTGCAGACGGTCACTCACTGGGGGCTTCTTTTCTCTGCAGCCTCCTGGGCAGGATGGACAAGCTGCAGGAGACGCTGCTGGGCCTCGAGGAGGGCCTGGCCTGCTCCAGCCCGGCTTTTCTCTCCTCTTGGGACTGGAAGGACGCACCGGGCCCCTTCGACCTCGGCCGGGCTGGCTCCCCTCAGAGCCTGTCTCCCACCCCGTCCTTTGCCTCCTCTTCCTCACCTGCCCACCCAGGGGTGGCTGACCTGGCCTGTGGCCACAGCGCCAGCAATGGTGGCAGCAGTAGCGGTGGCAGCCTAGTGGCCTGTGGCATGTTGGCCTTCCCTTCTACCTACCTGCAGAGTCCCGGCCCCAGCAAGGCCCCAAAGGGCACCAAAGTCAGGATGTCGGCCCAGAGGCGACGGAAGGCCAGCGAGCGTGAGAAGCTGCGGATGAGGGCTCTGGCTGATGCCCTCCACACCCTGCGTAATTACCTGCCCCCGGTCTACAGCCAGCGGGGTCAGCCTCTCACCAAGATCCAGACTCTGAAATATACCATCAAATACATCGGCGAGCTCACGGACCTCTTGAATGGGGCCCAGCGGACCTAGCTCCAGATGGACAGCCTGCCAGAGCTGGCGGGCACCTCAGGTCCCCGCCTTGGACAGGGGAGGAAACTGAAGCCCAGAGACATGCTGGGGCCTCCTGCAAGTCTGTGGTTCAGCCAGCATTAACTGGGCACAACAAACCAGCATTATTTGTCCAAGGAAGACAGGGACCCTGGGGCTTGGGAGACTTCATTTCTCCGGCAGAACAGACTCATCTGGAAGGGACCTCAGAGGTGAGCTCATCTTAACCTCACTGGCCCCAGAATCTCCTCTACAGTGTGCCTGACCAGTGGCTGTCCAGCCTCAGCTGAACCTTGGGGACTGGACTTCCTTGGGTAGTACTTGGCGTGTATTTGCCCTTCAGAAATTTTGGGAATAGAAATCTCAAAAAGGATGTTTCTGAGTTGGCTAGAGTGGTGGTGCTCTGTTCACAGAGAGACAAACCTTCAGGCTTCCAGCTTCCTGGCCCTCCCTCCCTGTCTCCTTATCACCAAGTGCCCAGACATAGCTCTGGGGCAGAGGGACCCATCACGAGCCATTATGGGCCTGGTCAAGGTATATTTGAAAGGATCTATACCTTCTAGAGTGCCCTTTGTCAATAACGGGGAAATGCTGATCTTTGCCTGCTGTTGTCCTGGGGGCTGGGGTTACCTGGGGTTTTCTCCTCCCCCCCACTTCTTGCCTGGAATCCTCCCCTGTGGTCCTTTCTGGAGAGCCTGGTCCATACGCTGAGAGATGGAAGGGCTGTCTTGCGGTCTTATTTAGGGTGCTGGGATGGACAGAGTCTCCCCTCAGGTGTGTTCATGGAGAAAGGTTAAGGGTCCCTGGCAGGAGCTGTAAGAAAGCCTCCCCAAGCTCTCCAGGAAGGCACTCAGCTTGCTTGGGTCTCAGGTGAGGCTGGGTGGGTGGGGGCAGGGGTCACCAGGTGAGCAGAGGTAATCTGGCATCTGAAATCATAAGAAATCTCCTGGGCCTGGAAAGAAGGCAGGAAATCTGCAGGGTGGTCTGGAGAGTGGCATGGAGACTGGAGGAAAGTCAGGAGAAAGGGCCTTGCTGCAGTGCTGAGCAGGCAGGAGAGACCAGCCAAGTCTGTTAACCCCTTCAGGTATGGGGCCCACCCCAAACTAAGGGCACAGGGCTGTAGAACTTCAGGGCAGGAAGGACGTTTAGAGCTCCCCTCCCTCATTGTACAAATGGGGAAAGTGAGGCCAAGATGGGGGGATTCACCTTGCCTAAAACCTTACAAAGCTAACATTGCTGGAGAACGAGATAGGTGGGGCCTGTCTTTCAAGAAGCTCAGCCGAATGGCCCTCATTCCCAGGACCAGGGCTGGGTCAGGAGACCCTGGACCCATGGACGTCCCAGACAGGACGCGGCTCACCAGAAGGGGGCGCCCTCTGACACCTGGCACACAGCCTTGCGGATGGGGCCGCTTAATGAAACTGTTCAGTTCAAGCGAGCTTCACCTTATGGAAAGTCTGCTTTTCTAGGGTCCTAGATCTGGGTCGAGGAGGGACCCCAAAGGTCAGCAAGCCCATTTTACAGATGAGTGAGCCAAGACCTAGAGGCGTAGTGATGTGTGTGAGGTCGCACAGAGAGGGGACAGGCTGCATTTTGGGATGCTTTCCCGGGTGCCACAATGCCCCTCCTTCATTGGGTCTGAATAAGACAGGATTTCCCTTAACCTTCCCCCCACCCCAAGAACAAAAGCATAGATGTTTATGGGGGGAGGGCATGGGTGGGGAGGGAACAGCAATCTTCAGCACCCCAGACTCCTGAATAAATGCTCATCCTTGGCTTTTAACGCTGGGGGTGTTTGCTAGAAGCCCCCTCAGCAGGATGTCCCCAATCACCTCTGGGGGTAAGGGTGACAGAGGAGCTGAGACTTCCCTGAGCCAGGATTCATACCCAGGGCCTCGACATCATCCTTGGCTCTTCCCACACCACTAACCGGTCTTACTGTTTTCACCGAAAATGCTTTGGAGCAGAAGGGGAAAGGTGTAGGCTCATCTGCTATGAAAGGGGTCTGGGGTTGGACTCATCCGGAGGCCAGGGTGGGCATGGGGACCCTTAGGAGCCCCTGTCCAACTGGGTGACTTTGGACAAGTGATGTGGCCTCCTGGGGACTCAGTTTCCTTCTCTGGACAATGACAGTTGGCCTGGCTGACCTCTAAGGCATACTCCAAATGTGTGTGGGGGTCCTAGGATCCCAGGTCCTAATTCTTTGTGGCTGCAGAGACTACGGATGGGAGCCCTGATGATTCTTACCTCTGTGACATCTGCTCTGGGGTCCCTCCTGCTCCCTTGGCCGACTTTACAATGAGGAGAGGGTCTGTGCTGGCACCAACAAAATAATTTCCTCACGCAGCCTCCGGTGTTTGTGCCAATATCGTCATCCTTTTGTTTTTACAAATCAGGCAACTGAGGCTGGGGGTGAGGTGGGAGAGGATTCACAGCTTCCCAGGCTGAAGGGGCCAGAAAGGATATCAGAGACCAGAATCCAAATCTTTCTCTTATAGACGAGGCCGCTGAGGCCAAAGGAAGCTCATCCTGAGAGGCCACTCAGGACAGAGGACAATGATCCAGGAGTACCCAGGTTCAAGTCTTCCCTCTGACCCATCCTGGCTGTGGGGACCCAGACAAGCCTCTGTTACTGCATATAGCAGAGGAAGTGCCCACCTATGTTGGTAAAGGGAGTCCCCCAATCCTTACTCTATCACTTAAAGAGTAGGTGTTGGAGGTGGGATTTGAACCCACAACTTTTTACTGCACCATCATTATTGTCATAGCTGGTCAGAGTTAGAGCTGGGATTGGAGTCCCTACCCCCGGGGCCCACATGTGTACCGGGCCATCTTGTTTGTCTGTATGCATGTTGTACTTGCAATCCGGAAAGCCTGGCTCAAATCCTGCCGCAGACTATTACCCTTCCTTCCCGTTCCTCATCTGTACAACGAGCCTGTTGGACTCATTCTGTGGCCTCAGAGCCCTCCAGCTCTGTACTTGTGACTAGGACTGTGACCTGTGGACTGTGCTAGGTCTCTGCCGGAGCTTCTCCCCACCCTTTCTGCTGAGGACCCGTTGGGGGCTACGGGAGTCACCCGGCAAAGGTCCCTCAGCCATCTGGGAGACCCCGGGGAGGGGCGGGGGGCTTCCTCTCGTGCCCCCAGCCTGGCCTCGACAGTTCAGCCTGCTGACACATCTGGCCCCCGGGGGAGGAGCTGGGAGCATAACGGCCACATTTGGCTCCCACAGGCCGATGGGAAATCGCCTTTCGTGTTGGGGGGCGGGGCGGGGGGGGGGGGGGGGGGGTAGGTCATTAGGAGGAGGCGGCGCCCTCCCCAAATAGTTCAAGAGGCATTTCACAGCTCGGCCCTCCCTGCCTCCGGGGTGGGAGGCAGCCCCTTCTGGTGATTCGATGCAGGAAAAGCAGTTTCCTGTTGCTCAGAGGGTCTGGATGCTCAGTGAAACCCTAGGCAAAGCTTAATCCGATGGGAGCGCTGTGCTCCTGCCCCTAAAGTGGTCTCCAAAGGGCCGGGGATTATTTCTAAATCCTCTTGGTAGCAATGGGACCCATTTGTCATAGAACAGAGAATATCTGAGTGAGGAAGTCTCTTAGAACATAGAGCAGAGAATGTCAGAGCTGGGAGGGGAGGGACCCTAGAACACAGAGTGTCAGAGCTGGGAGGACCCTCAGAGAATAGAAAATTGAACGTTACATCTGGGAAGGCCCTTAGAACCTAAAACATAAAATGCGGTAGCTGGGAGGCTCCTTTGACCACAGAACACCAGAGCTGGGAGAAGACCTCAGGACAATTTAGTCCAATCAACTCATTTTACAGATGGTGAAATTGAGGCACCAATTACCCTCCTTTAAATGCTCATCTATGTTCAAGAAAACCTCTAATGACAGAAAACTGGCTAAAGTTTCTTTGTTCTCCTCCCGGGAGATTATGAAGCATGAAAGAAACCAGGACAGAAATGACTTCTGTAAATCACCTTCAAAGTTATCCTCTGGCTCTTTCACTGATATATTTTTTTTAATTAAAAAATAAACTCTCCTCAATCTCTGTGCAGCCTCCGCATCAGTTAAAAAAGGTTTTCATGTATTCCTTCAATAGACATTTAAGAGCCTGTTGGGTGCCTAGCTCTGTGCTGGGTAACAGGGGGGAAGGAAAGGGGTGGCCTACAAAGGTCAGGAACAAGCTCTACCCTCCTGGGGTTCAGGGTCTGAGAAGGGGATGAGACACCCACAGGGAAAAAGCAACTGTCACGAGCAATATCTCACAACCGGTGCGTTGGTAACACAGGCAAACACAGGGCTGTAGGTGCGCGGAGGGGAAAGCGGGCGTGGATCAGGCCAGGCTTCCTGGAGGAGGTGATGTGGGAGCTGGGCTTTAAAAACTGGGTAGGAACGAAACAGGTGACGACTGGGAAAGAGGACATTGAAGATGCAGTGAGACCACAGACATGGACAAAGGGAGCGTTGGGCTGGGATGGGGCAGACAGTTACCCAGCCCGGGGCGGGGGGTGTCTAGAACACCTGAGCCATGGTGGGGTGTGTGGTTGTGCCACGTTGTGGAGAAGGCAGGCGAAGGAGCTGGGGCTTAGCAGGCCATAGGGAGCCAGGAGGATATTTGAGTAGAGGGAGGGAGGGAGGGAGGAAAGGAAGGAGGGAAGGAAGAAGGGAGGGAGAGGAAGGGAGAGAGGTAGGGAGGAGAGTGAGAAAGGAATGAAGGAAGGAAGAAGGGAGGGAAAGAGGGAGGGAGAGGAAGAAGGGAGGGAAAGAGGGAGGGAGAGGAAGAAAGGGAGGAAGAGAGGAATGAAGGAAGGAAGAAGGGAGGGAAAGAGGGAGGGAGAGGAAGAAAGGGAGGAGGGAAGGAGGGAGGGAACAAGAGAGGAATGAAGAAGGAGGAAGAGAGAGGAGGAGGGAGGGAGGAAAGGAAGGGAGGGTTTCTGCAGGGATTGCGTGTACCAGGCACAGAGGGGCGACAAGGCCCAGGGC